TTTTAAAAAGCCTGTAACCTTCCAGGAGCACAGAACAAATGGGAACCCGCCTCTGTGAGGCGCGGGAAGGCGCTGTAGGGGAGGGAGGTTTGGTTGGGACGGGTTCTCGACGGCTTGCTCCATGCAGGTGACAAGTGTGGCATTAGTGAGGCAGGTCTGGACTCCGGTCCAGCACATTCCCTTGTGAACCATGAACTTGGACGAGGTACCTATTTCTTGGGCTCTGGAGTGACGGTAATAATATGTCAGCGAGGGGTTCTGAACGTTCCCAGCCGACACCTGGATGCCGAACACGGTTCTGTTCTTTTCACCCATTAGCACATGCATGGGCAGAGGGAGTGGCTGCCCGAGCGATGGGATGTGAGTGTCCTGGCCTGCCAGGTATGACACACTGTGCTTGCCACCCCCCGCCCGACACCACAGGCAATCAGGATTCAGCCGGAGGGGCCCTAGTGTTCATTGTGCTCCATGGTCACGTATTTCTGTAAAATTAGCAAAAATAAAGTGTTAGCCACAATCAGTGAAGACCGCTCGTTCCTCCATCAGTCCTGCTGAGTGATACTGGAGTGGCCACCGGCCTCTGGGATGGGCTGAGGTTTCCCGAGCTCAGCACTGCTGACATTTGGGGTTGGATTGTTCTCCGTCGGGGGCGTTCCTGTACGTTGTAGGATGTTTAGCAGCGTCTTCGGCCTCTACCCACTAGAAGCCGGTGGGTACAATGCCCCCACTTGTGACAACGAAAAATGTCTCCAGAACACTGCCAAATATCCCCTCAGCCCGGGGTGGGGGGACAAACTGAACTTGAACTGTATTATTTTGGATTTCCGTTGGATATGTTACGTGGTTCAGAGTGATTTCCATGTACAAAGAGGTTGTCAGTTACAAATTGGTCAGTGGTGTGTGGTCAGTTCAAAGACTTAAGATCGTTGTCTACACAAAACAAAAAACCAAGATGCAAAATGCCTGAAATCATACACCTTATATGTGGAAGAAATCTGATAGAGGTTTTCCTGAATTTGACAACCATCCAAAAAACCTATGTGACATTGCCAATATAACATGTGAAGCCATGGGGCCGGCTGGTTAGCTCAAATGGTTAGAGCACAGCCTCCTAACACCAGGTCGTGGGTTCAGATTCCTGCATTGGCCAGCCACCAAAAATAAGTAATTCAAATAACCATGCTAGAGAAAATATTGAGTTCTCTTCTATTTACAGAAACTTGTTTTCATGGAGGAGGCAATAAAAGCCAAATAATATAAGCAAAGAAACAAATATAGGGGCTGTCAGGCAGCTTTTTAAAATTAAACATTTTATTTTGGAGTAGTTACAGAGTCACATGCAGTTGTGAGAAGTAACACAGAGAGATCCCACGTATACGATTCCCCACTAGTAACATCTCGTACACCCGTGGTGCCTGTCGCAGCCAGGGTACCGACATTGTTCTGCCAGGTCGCACATGTGGTCGTCACAGAGACCCTCCTGCTGCTCTTCCTCAGCCACCCTCACATCCCTCCTGCCCTGCCCCCTCCTTCATCCCGGGCTACTGCTCATCTGTTCCTAGTCCCTACAGCCCTGTCATTCCAAGAGTGTTGTATGAATGGAATCCTGCAGTCCATAACCTTTTGGAAATAGATTTTTTCACTGCAGAATCCCTCGAGCTTCGTCCAGTTGCTGCATGTATCAGTGTCTCGTTCCTTTACAGTATTTCCGGGGAGCATTCTGCAGTGAGCACGGGTCTCAGTCTGCCTGACCATTCACCTGCTGAAGGGCATCTGAGCTAATTCTCATTTGTGGATATTACAAATAAAGTTGCCGTGAACATTCATGTGCGGGTTTATGTGTGAACATGTTTCCATCCCTCTGGCATAAATGCCCAGGAGTGCATTGCTGGGTTGTGTGGTGGTTGCGTGTTTCATTTTTCAGGAGACTCCCGAACTGTTTTCATCTTATGTTCCCACCAGCAAGGTATCAGTGGCCCGCTCTCTCCCATGCTGGCCAGCATTTGTTGTTGTCACAGTTTTGTTGTAACCATCCCGATAGGTGTAGGGATATCTCCCTGTGGGATTAATTTGCATTTCTCTAATGACTAATGATGTTGAACATCTCTTCATGTGCTAGTTTGCCATCTGTATGTCCTCTTCAGTGAAATGTCTGTGTTTTGCTGATTTTCTAATTGGATTGTTTGTCATTTTAGTGTTAAGTTTTGACATTAATATGTCCCAGATACTAGGCCTTTGCTGGATATGTGGTTTGTAAATACTTTCTCCCATCCTGTAGCTTGTTTTTACATCTTTTTAACACGGTCTTTTTCAGAGCCCAAGTTTTCTTTTTTGTTTGTTTTGTTTGGCAGCTGGCTGGTGCAGGATCTGAACCCTTGACCTGAACACAAGTTTTTAATTTTGATGAAGTTCAATTTATTGATTACTGGTTTTGTGGATTGGGCTTTTGATGTTATATCCAAGTACTATTTAGTTATCCTTAGATCCCGAAGATTTTTCTCTTACTTTTTTCCTAAAAGTCTTGCAATTTTACATTTTACATTTAAGCTCATGATCTATTTTGAGTTAGTTTTTGTATAAGGTGTGAGACTTAGCTGGAGGTTCATTTTCTTGGCCTGTAGAAGTCCAATTACTCCAGCATCATTTGTTGAAAAGGCCGTCTTCCCTCCGTTAACTTGCTCCTTCATCAGAAATCAACTGGGTGTATCTGTAGGTCTGTTTCTGGGTTCTCTGTTCTATTCCATTGTGTAATAAGTCTTGGAGTTGGGTACAGAGATTCCTCCTAGTTTATTATTTTTCAAAATTATTTTAGCTATTCTAGTTCCTTTCTCTTTTGTTATAAATTTTATAATAATCTTGTCTATATCTACAAAAATTCTCACTGTGATTTTGATAGGAATGGTGTTAAACTTGTATGTCAGTTTGGGGGAGAATTGAAATCTTCACTCTGTTGAGTCTCCCGATCCATGAAGATGGTATGTCTCTCCATTTATTTAGATCTTTGATCATTTCATCAGCATCTTGTAATTTTCAGCATATAGGTTCTATATATATTTTATTAGATTTATACTTAAGTATTTATTTTTTTGAACAATTGTAAATGATAATTTTAATTTTAGTGTCTATGAGTTCATTGCTATTTTATAGAAATATAATAGCTTCTTAATGTTTATCTTGTATTCTGTGACCTTGCTGAACTCATGTAATAGTTCTAGGAGGTTTTTTGTGTGTGGACTCTGGGATTTTCTAAGTAGACAACCATGTCATCTACAACAAGCAGCATCCTTTTCATGCCTCACTGTAGTGTCTAGAACTTCCAGCACTGTGCTGAGTGCGAGTGGGGAGGGTAGACATTCTTGCCTTTGCCTTGATCACAGGAAGAAGACGTCTTTCACCGTGAAGTACGATGTAAGCTGTAGATTATTTTAATATATGCTCTTTACTAAGTTGCAGAAGTTCTCTCTCCATCCCTATTTCCCTGAGAGGTTTTTTTTTTTTTTAATCTACCATGAAAGGGTGTTGAAATATGCCAAATGCTTTTCCTGTACCAGTTCATATGATCGATTGTGTGATTTTCCTGTTAGTTTGTTAATACAGTGGATCACATTGATTAATTTTTGGATATTGACCCAACTTGCCTCCCTGGATGAAACCCCATTTGGTCATAGTTTATATATCTTTTTATATATAATTAAATTCTATTTGTTAATATTTTTTTAAGTATTTTTGCGTCTGAATTCATGAGGGATATTGCTCTGTAGTTTCTTTGTACTTTGGTTTTGATATTAGGGTATTATCAGGTTTATAAAATGAATTGGTGGTTATTCTCCCCGCTCTTCTGATATTTTTGGGGGGTGGGCAGTGGCTGGCCAGTACGGCAATCCAAACCCTTGATCTTGGTGTTACAGCACCATGTTCTAACTGAGCTAATTGGCCAGTCCTTCTCCTCTTCTGTTTTCTGAAAGTAGTTGTGTAGAATTGGTATTAATTTTTCTTTAAACATTTGGTAGATTCTCCTGTGAAACCATTTGGCCTAGAAATTTCTTTCTGGGGAGTTTTTAAATTGCAAATTTAGTTCCCTTAATTGTTGTAGAGATAATTAAATTATCTATTTCATATTGGATGCATGGTAGTTTGTGTTTTTCCAGAAATAGTCCATTTTGTCTAAGTTGTCAAGTTTATGCATAACTTGAATACATTTTTAATAAAGAATTCATACTTTTTCATGGATTTTGTGATTTGTGTGGAATTTGTCAGTATTTACATTTTTCATGTTATGATTTTTCAGTCCAAATAAATATTTGTCTTTGAACCTAGCTTTTTATGATCATAATTTTATATACATCTTTTTGTTAAAGAAGGTCCCTCCCACCTCCCAAAATGTGTAAGTTCAGGCTGCACAGGAGTTGGGTCCGCCTACCCCACTACAAGGACTGGTCTCTGGTGCGTATTACCTTTTAATGAAACTTAAACAAGCCAGTGAGTTTGGGGCCTCACTGTAGACTAGGTCTCCACAAGCAATGGTCAGAGACTTACTGCCTTCTGAAGTTATGTCCCATATGGAAGAAAATGAAAGGAGATGTCAGCTGCATTTACTTCTGTCCGATGTGATGCCAGGTGGTTATTATTACTCTTTATACTTTTCTGAATTTCCATAATACTCATGCTTATTTTTTCAAAGAAAAAAAAAGCAAGAAGAAAAGAATGAAAGAAAAAGAAAGACAGAAAAGAAAGCCAAAACAGAGGCAGGATTGGGGCGTTTGGGTTGGAGAGTTAGCAGGGGCATCTCCTGGAGGGGTCCTGCACATCCCCCTATCCCCAAGCCCGGCATCACGGCTGTTCCCGGCATTCCCACACTTTCCCCTACTGTCCTGCAGGACAGCCGAGGTATTTCAAACAGGAAGCGGCTTGCAGATAACCCTGCAGCCATTCAGCCTGATTTGCTGGGCTGCTGACAGTGTCAGGCAGTGGCTTCGCTCTGTGTGCTGGACTGCAGCTGGCTTCTGTAAATAGCAGCCATGAGGCTCCCGAGTGCAGTGTCCTGGCTGGCTGGTGACGGGAAGGACGCCCCCTTCGCCTAGTGTGCGTTCAGGTAGGAGACGCTGCCCGGACACTTCGTGGCCCCAGAGCACAGAACTGAGGGTCGGACCAGTGCTGAGACAGGTGGAAAGGCAAGATTCCAAACAGGGACAGAGGTAGGAATCGGCCTGAGGGGGGATGGGGGGGATTTGTTCTTAGATCCAGGTGAAAGATGGTATCTGAGACCGGTGCTGAGACAGGCGGAAAGGCAAGATTCCAAACAGGGACAGAGGTACGAATCGGCCTGAGGGGGGATGGGGGGGATTTGTTCTTAGATCCAGGTGAAAGATGGTATCTGTACATAAATCACGAGAATTCCAAAGTTTGATTAGTTCAGTAGTTCATGGTGGAAACTTCGAAGAGCCTGTTGATGAGATGGATTCAGACCCATCAGTGATGATGGGGTCTTGCCCTCTCTGGTTACTTGGAATTCAAAGTACCTGAAGTCCCAGAGGGTGAAGCAATCCTTCCTAATTCCAGACCACAGTGTGACAACTGGCCCGGTCAGTTGTTCCTGGGCAGCATTTGAGGGCGGGGCTGCTGGACAACAGCATCACCTTGACTCTGCTCAGTGACAGGAATCACAGGTGGGAGGGCAGGTGGGACTTGCAGAGGTGACTTTCAAGGGGGTGGCTTTGGGGTTCTGATGGGGTCATCTAGTACCCAGTGGGCGTCATCTTGTCTTCTAACACTGGAAAAGAAACAAGTTTCATTAGGTAGCCCTCCTGCCTTGACACTGTGTGTCAGGAACTGGCTGTCTTGTGAGAGCTGAAGGCATGTGGTAGCTCTAAAGTCAAACGACAAGGCTTTCAAGCCATTGCATGTCCTAACTGGATTTCTGATTTGATGGGAAACACTGCCAGGTGCCAGGTTGAGCAGTGCCCAGACCTGCACGGCTGTTCCGTTATGGGCGTTACCACCAGTATCCCTCAAAAGAACCTTCGGGGGGTCTTGTCACCATTGTAAGGTGAGGGACAGGTTTGCAAGAGGCGTGTGATCTGGCCAAGGCACTAGTAAGTGGTGCCGCCAGGTTCGCCACTGTCCTGTAAACACAGCGCCCTCCAGGTGTCACAGTCCATGTGGCAGGTCTCTGTGTGCCGTCTGTGACTTCCTCGGTGGCCATGGAGCGAGAATTGGCCCACCCGCTGCCACGTCATGGGGGCGAGCTCATCCAGCTTCCACCCCGTCCCCACACCCACGAGGGACGGGTGCTTTCCGCCCCAGTTCAGACAATCAAGAAGCCACAGCTACACGGAGTGACATGGAGCATAATGTTGAGAAAAAAAGTCAGACAGAATGTGTCTTGATAAGTTGCATGACATTTTGTAAAACTCAAAAACAAGGAAACGCAGTGATACCTTGTTGAGAATACATGCATGTGTAGTGGTGCTGCGTAACACGCTGCAAGGGAATGATAAGTTGAGAACCTGGGCAGTGAGTGGTCCCCCTGCGGGACCTCCCTGCGTGCCCACGTGGGTGCTGGATAGGACTGGGGCGCACAGGGACGTCAGCGGCGCAGCGTCTTCTCGCCTGTGAAGCTGGAGGCTACAAATGTCTGCTTTATGGTTAAGCTTCATAGTTTTCATTTAGGAGGGTACCTCAAACATTTCACAGAAAAGTAGAACTAAAAGATGACACGAATCTTTCCTGAACTTTATGAAGTGCCCTCGCACAGTACATGTGTACCTTTGTATGTATTAAACATTGATAATAAAGAACTAGAAGAAGAAAATCTAAAGTAGCACCGCACAGGTACTAATAATTGTCGAAGCGGGCAGTGGGTATGGCTAAGTTCACTGAACTACTTTTGAGTGTATTGTAATTTTTCCATCATAAATAGTTAAAAAATAACGAAAAAGGCCTCGTCAGGAAAGTGCGGCCCGTGTGATGGGTGTCCACGCGCCCGTGTGATGGGTGTCCACGCGCCCCTGTGAGGGGTGACCAGGCACCCGTGGGGCGGCCTCCCCCGCTGCGCCCTCTCAGTGGGCATCGGGAGCCCCTCTCCGCCTGCCCCCTTCTCTCTCATCCTGATTGAGAACTTAGATACTTTTACGTCTGTCTGGCTTCAATGTTTTTTCTCTTAGGAAAGCAGAAACACCGTAGGGGCCGCTCTGTTCTCCCTATTTAATTTTCCAGCTTCCTTCCCCTAAGCCCGCCTGCACTCTGAAGTCGTCTGCACTTCTGATTTCTCGCAGCTTTTGAACATTTGAATAACGGGGGCAGTGGGCGTTTTGTTAATTAACCTCTGGCCTCCGTGAATTCCTGTTCCCACCCGCTGTGCACCCCCACAGGGAGGACAGCCTAGTCATTTGCCAGAAGCTGTGGAGCCGAGCCCAGGGGGCGGGCAGCGGGGCTCAGAGCGGGCAGCGGGGCTCGGAGCGGGCAGCGGGTCTCAGAGCGGGCAGCGGGGACCTGACCGGCCTCTAGAGCAGGGGCCGGGGCGCTCATGTCCTTTGCTGCATGTCCTGCAGCCACAGCGGCCTGGCTTCCTTTCCGTGATCTGAGCTTTAAAGTATCTTTTCTCCCCTGGGCCATTCCCGGACATGGGGATGAGGGGCCGCTTTACCTTCCACACCTCTAGGTTTTCAGAAAGGTATAAATTCAGTCGTCTTCATATTTACATTCCTGGCAAGTGACTCTTTAAACCCCGAGATCCTTGCTCACTCCCGTCTCCTCCCTGGCGTCCCTTCACTGACCCTTTCCGTAGGCTTATGTGGACGTTTAGCATTCAGCGTTCATGGCAGTAATATTTAAAAGCAATCTCCGTGTAGTCTTTTCTTCTGTTGCTGCTTGGGATGTTTTCAGAGTTGGTGGAAGGATCTCTAGTGACTTTCCTATGCTGCAGGGACAGGCTTTGCTCACGACCACAGGATGGAGCTTTCCCATCTGATGCACATGTGGCTTTTCCATCTGATGCACACACGGCCACGTGTCTGTGTGGATGTCCTCGGGCATCTCCATCCTTCTGTACCTTTCTGGGAGGCTCTCGGAAGTGAGTGTAGCAGGGACTTCAGGTATAAAGTTGGGTGTTAAAACGGACTGGCCTGTTAGCTCACTTGGGAGAGCGTGGTGTGGATCAAGGGCTTGGAACCCCCTACTGGCCAGCCGCCAAGAACCCCGCCACCCCAAAACACCGATAAAGTTTGGGTTTATCAGAGACAGTGGCTCTGTAGACTCGGGATCTGAAGACTGGACGGGACCTTGGCCTTTAGGGGTGTCTGTCCGATCATCCTCCCCTGGCTTTTGTACGAGGAAATAAACAAATGATGATCCCATTGGGCTGTTGATGTGGGGACCCTGCTGCCTCTGATGGCCTTTCTCTGGCAGCTGACGTGACCTTCTTGTGTCTGAGAGGGCTAGCCAGCCTGGAACCAATGGGAGAGCACACAGGGCGCCTTGGCCTCTGAGTCTTGCAAACCAGACCACTGCTCAGTGCCCCAGGCCTTGCTGCTCCCTGCCAGTCCACTCTGCAGCCTTACCAGTGTCTTTGGACTCAGAGTCAGACCCCAAACTCGATCTGTCCTCCCCTCCCACCCTCTTACTCAGTGGCTTGCTGCACCATTCACCTGGCTGCTCAGGACAAAAGCGTGAATCTTTGACTCCTTCTCTTGTTTCCCACATAATTCATCAGCAAAACCTGTCTGCTCTGCTTCCAAAGCATGTCCCAAATCTGACCTCCTGCACCTGCGCCTGCACGATGGAGCCCACCAGCTGTCCCTGCTGCTTTGTTATCGCCATCACCTCTAGAGTCTCCTTGCTTCCCTTCTTATCCTCTGAGTTCAGTGTCAAGAGAAGGGCCATGGTGACCCTTCTACAAAGCCACCCCCCTGATGCAGACCCTCTCTCCCACTTAGAGATACCCTCAAGCTGTCCCGCGAAGGCCGGGGATCCTCTCTCTCCTGCCACGGGGGCGGGGGCCTGACCCTGCATCCCGACTACCTGCCCTGCCCTACTCTCGCTGTGACTCCAGGTCCCCCGCTGTCCATCTCTTCCAGCTGGAGTGACACCTCACGTCGTTGCTCTGCTCCCGGTGCCCAGAGCCGGCGGGAGGGCGGGCTGGGGCGGGGGCACGGGGCCACTCGCTGACCCCGCGCTGTCTGTCACTTCCCCTGTGTAGGAGCCGCGTCCCGCCTGTGCACGATGACGAGGCACCAGGCGCTGGCGGGCGCGCTCATCGGCCTGGTGCTGCTGTCGCTGCCGCCATCCGGGGATCCCCAGCCGACCGCAGATGATGCCTGCTCCGTGCAGATCCTCGTCCCCGGCCTCAAAGGTAGTGACTGCTGCGGCTGCGGGGGTCGTGCACGTGGGGCGGGACAGCGAAGGCAAGAGACTGGCTGTGGCCTGGGCCGGGTGCTCGCCTCCCGAGGCCTCCGTGTCCCCGTCTGTGAGCCGGGGCCAGGCCCTCTGCGAAGGGTTGCTTCCAGGTGGAGGGGGCTGTTGCCCTCGGCTCCTGCCTAGGACCCTGGTTGTGGGCTGCTTCTTGCCTGCTTCTGGGTAGAGGAGGCTGCCCTCGGCTCTCAGAGAAATTTAGTAATGTGCCTGTTGTGCTCCTACACTGGTTCCTGCGAGCTCTTAATAGTCTTTCTTTTAAAGGTCAAACCATTTCTTTTCTTGTTGCTTTGTCTATAAATTAATTCCAGGTAGAGGTAGCTGTGCAGATCAGATCTGCGGGTGAACTACAGCATACGAGAAACGTACCTGAGGCTCTAGTATCTGAAGCGAAAATCATGTTTCTACAAAGCACAGGCAAGAAATTCCAAAACTTTGTGATTCCTAAGCAGGACCAGTTACATGATTTGTGGGGCCCACTGCAAATGCAAATGTGGGGCCCCTTGTTTAAAAATTGAGAATTTCAAGAAGGGACAGCAGGGCCTGCACCTTGTGTAGGTGGGTGTGGGTCATTCCTACGTGCAGGAAAGGAGCGGTTGGGGACCCAGCCTGTGACTTGGAGAAGTCAATGAGGATATGGCGGTGGCATACAGTGATGCTCTGTGCCTCCAAATTTGGTTTTGCCTCCTCCCCAGCCCCGCAGGGGCTGCTTTGAACGGGGACTCCTGGGAACCTGGACTCTGCTGAGTGGTGCCTTTTGTGAGAAGGCTGCAGGCTCTTTTTACAGAAACATTAGAGAAGAGTGGATTCTCACATTTAGAAGCATTCAAACCCATGATCAAAACAACCACCACAAAAGACAAGCCTCTATTATCTCCGTGTTGCCCCAAATAAAAGGAGCAGCCCTCTCATGGGGCACAGGCAAGGTTAGGTCCTGCAGTCCCTATGGGGACTCCCTCCTGAGGGGTGACCAGGGCTCCAGCATCCGGACTGGGGAGTCAGGAAGGCCGGCTCTTTCCAGGAAGTTCTCCAAGGGGACAGCCGTGTTCGGGAGGTTGTTTTTCGGCTGCTTCCATCTGCTGTGTGGAAACCGAGGAGACATCCCTGCGGCCCACACGAAGGTGGTTAGGAGTTAGATCCCACTGGCTTTTACATTTTTAGTGATAATAAACGTGCTGACTCTCTTTTTAAACCTTTTGATTACGTTGGAAGAACTCAAACTGTGGAACGTGTACTGCTTTCTCAGACGTTTTGGTGGGAGTGGTTTTGGGCCCCGACTTTCTCACAGTGTGTGGGTTTGTGAGTGGAACCTTCAGGTTTATTTTTTCTTTTTTAATTTTTAATTTTTATTTTTTAAAGATGACCAGTAAGGGGATCTCAACCCTTGACTTGGTGTTGTCAGCACCACGCTCAGCCAGTGAGCAAACCGGCCATCCCTATATGGGATCCGAACCCGTGGCCTTGGTGTTATCAGCACCGCACTCTCCAGAGTGAGCCACAGTCCGGCCCTGAAACTTCAGGTTTAAATTTGAAAATGTGGCTGTGGGAGAGTCACACTTTCTGCCATGGACATCACTCCACATATACAGAGGTGGGGGGCTCCCTCGAGTCCTGAACGCCCCCTCCCTGGGCTCTGGGGTGTGCAGGGGGAGCTCCAGGCTCCTTTCTGGGTGTTTTTCCCAAGTGCCGTTGCCAGGGGCCTTCCCGGCTGAGATGCGGGTAGCAGCAGGAGGGCCGGGCGTGTGGACCGCAGGAGGCCTGAGCTTGCCTTGCGAGAGCTGTGAGTGTGACACCTCACTGTGCTGCCTGGCCTTGGCCTTGGCCTCTGTGCCCATGAGATGGGGAAACGATGCCAGCCTCCGGGCTGTGAGCATTAGGTGGTGGCAGCAGGTATGGCGCACATGGGTGTGTTGTCACATGCAGCACTCACTGGCTGGTTTGGGTGATCACGTGTTAGACCCAGACAGTTGTTTGTTTTCCACTTTTGAATGATTTGGGGCCTCCTGAGCACCCAGCTCTTGACTCTGGAACTAAGCCTCTAACAATCTGGGAAACAAACTAAAGGAAAGATTTTGAAAAATGGTTTAAATGTATATTTATCGTTATAGGAAGGTTCAGGATTTTCTAAAGCTAAAACAGTGAAATGCAAAATTTTAAATAGTCCCTTCCTAATTTTAATTTAAAAATATACAAATATAGAAAAAAGCTGGAAGGAAATTTACTAAAATGTTAACAGCGATAATCTCAGTATAGAGTTACAGATGTTTAAAAATGTTCATGGGGTAACACTCCAATTTTCTATAGTTTTGAGTATTCGCAATTTAAATATAAAATTGAGGCAATATCAACATTCATATCTCTGGGTTGTCAAGCATGTTGTAATAGGTTTCTGTCACTTACAACAGAATACCTGAAACTGGGTAATATACAGAAATGGAGTTTATTTCTTATAGTTTCGGAGGCTGGGTAGTCCGAGGTGGAGGGGTCATCTGGTGAGGGCTTCTGCCTGGTGGGGACTCTGCAGAGTTCCGTGATGACACAGGGTATCGCATGGAGAGGGCTGAGCAAGAGCTCCTTCTAATGCGCTTTCCTCCTCTCCTTTTAGAGCCCCCAGTGCCACTCCTGTGACAAGCCACACATTCACTAATCCACTGATCTATGAATGGACCAATCCATTCATGAGGGCACAGTCACCCTCCAAAAGCCCCACCTTTCAACACTGCCACCTGGGAATCAAGCTCCCACAGGACCTTTGTAGGGGCAAACATTCAACCCATAGCACGTCTCAAGGGCACTTCTGAGCCCTTTTAGAGATCTGTGTTGGCAACTGCACCAAGTCCAATGTTAAAGCTTGTTCCACTTGTGTGTGCTCTGCAGGGGCAGGACAAGAGGGTCTTCAGGTGGGGCAGCTAGTGGCTTCTTTCCTCTTTGTGGATGGCACACCTCCCAGGGCATAGCTGCACCTCTTTTTATCAGTGGTTTATTAGCACTTTAACACTGTGCTCTAGTTAGTGGTGAGTCACTATAATTGTGAGACTCTAGCATTGTCTGCAGAGCATTGACCTGATGTTATTCATGCCTTTCACATGTACTTATTGAGCACCTACAATTTATTGGGAGGAGCTGTAGGTTCTTTAGAGGGTCCTGTCAATGAATCAGACATGGATCTTCCTTTCTGTGGGTTTACTGTCCAGCAGGTGAACGAGGACACGTTCCTATGAACTGACGAAGCTGTGTGGAATGTTTTAGGGCCCTGGGCAGGATACAGACTGTGCGCCGTGGAGCTTGCATCTGTACCCCTAGATTCAAATCATTGTTTCACAAGGCAGACCCTGGTCTGTCAATACCAAAGGGATGATTCTAGTAGAGAAACTTCTTAGCACAGTTATTCAAGCCTTTAAAATCTGGATGTCTCGGGGCCGGCCCGGTGGCGCACTGCTATAGTGCGCCGCTTGGGAAGCACGGCGGCGCTCCTGCCGAGGGTTCGGATCCCACATACAGACCGGTTCCCGCTCACTGGCTGAGCGAGGCGTGGGAGCAACACCGAGGGTTGCGATCCCGTTGCCGGTCCTATGTCTCATCAAAGAGGGGGCGACACTGAGGGTTGCGATCCGTTGCTGGACACGGAAAAAGACAAAAAGGAAAAAAAAAAAAATCTGGATGTCTCGTTCTGACAGCAGAAACACAGAGTCCTCTGTGATAATGAGTGTGCTGATTGAAAACAGAGCCGCCTTGATTTCAGTGAAGGAATTGTACTGTTCCGGTGTTTAGACTGGGCAGCAGGGGGAAGGGTAGAGAAGGGGAAATTCCTAACCAAGGAGTGGGGGGAAGCAAGTTTGGGGCTTCCAAGCATTAAAAATTCAGGATTAATGCAAATTTTTGTCAACAGCAAAGTAAACAGATTGGCATCAAAAAAAAAAAAGGAGCCCCTCCTTTTGAGTCATGCCCCTCCTGAGTTGGGGCCTGCTGCCCACGGCATGGGGTGGTCGAGCATGGGGTTAATGTCTGCGCCCTCATCTAGGCTTGGTCCACTCTGCACAAGCGCCTGGTCCCCTGTCGGTGCTCAGTCCTTCCCTGTTGAGTGGACAAGGCTGCTTGCTTGTCTGGAATGTTCTTTACCTGTACAGCAGGGTCTGTTATGTCAGTCCCCGACCTTGCTGAGACACTGTGATGCTCACACAGCATAACGCCCACAAAAGCGGAGACATGGGAGCCCACAGCGTAGAAATCCAGGACCTTTCCAAGCCTCAGGCTGTTCCATACCATTTGGTAAAGATTTTGTGGAGTTACTACTATTCACCATAGGGTATGTGTCGTGTGTATGTCTGTCACGGCTGCCTTCATGGCAGTGCCAGGCAGTGGGTGCACAGGGATGATGGGACCCAGGCCCTGCCCTGCTCCTGGATGGCGACTTACAAATCCCTAATCGCGTGCCAGGCACGTGGGAGCAGAGAAGGTCTCCATCCAACAGGTGTCCCATGAGAGTGTGCAAGTTAGGGACAGGCGCAAGGAACAAGGACAAGTTCTAAAAGGACGTGTCATAGCCCATCTGTCAGGAACTGAGTTAGTCGATGGCGGAAAAAGTACAAACACAGTGCAGTTCCTGCTTTTAAGGAGGTGTAGGCACAAAAATGGTCACCACCTATTCACCAGACAAACATTTACTGGGAATCTGGCGGGGCCAGGCTCAGAGACGGGGGAAGAAGCCACTGCCTGTCTCTGTAAAGTCCTGCCCTTGGGCGAGACGTGGAGGGTGGCGTCTGGCCAGCCAGACACAGCACATGGCGCCGTGGGTCCCAGGACTTCTGCTAAATCCCTATGTGGCTGTAGAATCTTCCTCAGCACATGCTCCAGGCAGCCCATCACCGGTGGTGGTGTTGAAGATGAAGTTTACTTGTATTCGCTCTTGCAGGTCTAATAATAATATCCTTACATTTGTATTTAGAGAGAGTGACACTCAATTTGATGGGGGAAAAAGTCCCATTAAGTCTTTCCTTAATGGTTAAGGAAATTAGCTGTAGGTGGGAAAACATTTATATGTATTAGCAAGCCTGCTGCTCACAATTTGAAAAGGCATAGTAATTTTTATAGATTTTATCAAATCAATTAAAAAGTCATTAACTGTCATCCCTTAAAACAAGATTGATAAGGCCAGTAATGGGGCCCGAAGGACACACGTGAGCAGGGGTCTGCTCCTCTGACCCCGACATGGCTCGTCTGGCTGTTTCCTCTTCTGTAGCTGGATCTGGCTGGGCTGAGGTCCCCAGCTCTTCTCTCTGCAGCTTCCACGGCTCCGTGGTGTTTGCATCCCTGTGGTTGGCTTGTGTCCAGTTTTAGGAGTCGGCAGAATCAATCAGGGTGTGTCTGTGGCTCCTCCTCAACTGGCTGCAGATATGTGTGAGTATGTCACGTTCCACGTGAAAGTAACTGACACGTGCCTTCCTGATTGGGGTGAAAATGAGCCCCAGTGCAATCAAGGCAAAAGCTTTGTGTTCATAGACTTATATGATTTGCAGGGAGACCACGTTTTCCTCGTTTCTTTGGGGGAGGAGAGCGCAGTGTTGTTAATGATGTGGGAAAATGAGCAAGACCATTGAAACGTTTTCTCTCCTGACAGAGAAACAAGTTGTCATTAGAGCTTGATGCAGTAAATTAGCCCCAGATCGATACCTGGTAGAGAACAGAATGTGGAAAAAACGCCGTTGTGCTCTCTGGGTATACATTGTACAATGCATGTAATTTTTGAGTGCAGAGGTTTATAGAAATCCTGTTCTGGAGTCATTACAAGCCGGGGCGTATATCTTTGTGACCCCTGAGGCCAGTGCATGGGGGAACACGTTTTAAAGCCTGCAAATTATGAACAGTGCTTGGAAACAGCCTTTGTTCTTAAGAAGCATGTACATGGTTGGTCTCCAAGGAGGAGAGAACAGAATAGGAGGCCGTCCTGCCGTAGATCTCCAGAACCAGGAATTCAAGTAATTTTTTTTTTTTTTTTTTTTTTTTAAAGATGACCGGTAAGGGGATCTCAACCCTTGACTTGGTGTTGTCAGCACCACGTTCACCCAGTGAGCTAACCGGCCATCCCTATATGGGATCCGAACCCGGGGCCTTGGTGTTATCAGCACCACACTCTCCCGAGTGAGCCATGGGCCGGCCCTCAAGTGATTTTTTATAACAGCAGCCAGCATGGCATTTTCCAGGACGTGCTTCATTCAGTCTCATCAAAGATTAGGAAACCGAGTCTGGGAGGGTTTACGTGGCCCAGGTATTTAGGAGGTGTCTGACTGCAGGACCACCTGGGCTCCCCGATGGCAGCTCTGTCCAGTGCTGGGCGGATGCAGCGTCCTCGGGAGGGTGGTGTTTAAGTGAAGTGGATTTTCTGAATAGCTGAGAGGCTTGAAGAAAATCCATGCTAGGTCCTGCTCTTTAAAGTCTTGCTGTTTTTAATGACTTAGTATTCCTCTTTCCTGCTTAACAGGGGTGTTTATGGGACACAGTGTGCAGTACAGACTACAGTCTGTACTGTATGTGCTTTTTAGGGTCTTTTTGAGTCTCGGGATTGTTACTATGAGCAATTTTTAAAAATCAGATTAAAGACGGGCACGTGGTTGCAGCTGGAGATTGGGCAGAAGTTACCGCGGCAGGCAGCGTCCTCACCTTTCTCCTGTTGGAGGAGGGGGACGGGAAGTGGTGACGGTGCCCACAGGGGGCCTGGCACTGTGCTCTTGCCCCGGTTACGTTTGGATGCCCGAGGGAGGCGTGGTAACGACTGGTGCTGGAGTGCCGGCCTGTCCCAGCTCAGGGTTGTCACCTGGCAGCTTGTGTCTTCATCTGTGAAGTGGGCACAGTGCCAGCCTCCCAGGGTGGGGGGAGGCTCATCATTCAGTCAGTCCAAATAAATGGATCCTACGTACAAACTCTAGGGATTTTCTTACTCAACAAAAGGAAAGCTAACAGATTTGCTTAGTGTTAATTCCTGCGAATGTGCACAGAGCGCCTGCCGTGGTCCAGGCCTTCGTCCCGGTGCTCTGCAGACGCAGGGCTGGGGAGAAGGGAGCCCTTCACGGAGCTCAGCCTGGGCTAGAGGCGACGGACTGCCGGAGCACAGGGGGTGGGAAAGGCCCTAAGCAAAAGCCTTCCTCCACCTCGTCCCCTTCATGGTGGCTGCCGCCTGCTGCTCCCCTACTCCCGGATGATGGCATTGTCCCCCGAGGGCCATCTGCCACCCTGGCCCCCGGCCCTCGCGGGCTCACTGTTCCTATTCCAGAGACTTCCAGCTGCCTCGGCGTCCTCTGTGCACCTGCCGTTCCCTTCCTCGGGACACTTCCCCTCACGCCTGGCCCGGTGACATCCTGCGCGTCAGCAGCTCTCCGCTTAAAAACCATTTCCTCAGAGAGGCCTTTGTGATCTCTCGATCTAATCATGTCTCTTCTGTTGAAGTCACCGCCTCATTTTATTCCTGTGTCCCGTGCTGCTAGTGACATTCCTACATCGTCTGATTGTGGGTCACACACATGCAGTGTTCACGTTCTTGTCTCCTCTGGGGCAGCTTTCAGCATTTTCTTTCCGTTCTTGATGTTCTGCCCTGTCACTCTAACATGTCTAGGTTATGTCCCCTGATGTGTCCTGTATAAATTCGTATAATGTATGCTATACGAAGTTATGCCCATTTCCTCAGAGAGGCCTTTGTGATCTCTCGATCTAATCATGTCTCTTCTGTTGAAGTCACCGCCTCATTTTATTCCTGTGTCCCGTGCTGCTAGTGACATTCCTACATCGTCTGATTGTGGGTCACACACATGCAGTGTTCACGTTCTTGTCTCCTCTGGGGCAGCTTTCAGCATTTTCTTTCCGTTCTTGATGTTCTGCCCTGTCACTCTAACATGTCTAGGTTATGTCCCCTGATGTGTCCTGTGTGGTTTTCTGTGGACGCTTGCACAGTGTTCTGTCATGATTTTTCCTGGTGCTGGGAAATCACAGCTGATAAACTTCACAGCTATGAAGGCTTCACATGGCTGTTCTCTCTTTCTGGGATTCCTATAAGATGGACATTGGCATTTACGGGTTTTTCCTTCATCTCTCCACTTCCTAACTTCAAGTCAAACCAATTTTTCCAGTTACTCATCTCTTAGAGTTGCCTTGTGACCAATCCTTCATCCTCGTCTTTTGCCTCGTCAGTCAGCTCTTTATCACTGGCTGTTCTGTTTGGCCTCTCACAGAGGGGTTTATCCTAGAGTTGGTCTCACGCAGCAGATCTCTGGCTCGTTTGCCCCTGTCCGCAGGCGCGCTGTTCTCTCTCGTCTTTATGAGGTGTCCGTAAAGTGACTTGCTGCGCCGTCCGTGGTGGCTGCCCCACTGGTTCCACTTGCTCAGTCCTTTCCCTGCATGGCGCTGGTGCCCTCTGATGTCTGGTGGTTCCTGATGGTGAGTTCATCTTGTGAGTTGCTGGTTTTTGCTGGACGATCAGTGCTTCTTCAAGCATTGCTACCGTGATAATTTCCTTTCTTTTAAAAGATGAGAGAGACCATGTGAGAACTACTGGAGATTCAGGGCATGTATGCAGGCTGTCCGTGTGTCCACCAGTGCGGCACCACGGGTCTTCAGCAGGTGGCCCCACAGGGCCATCGTGGCTGGGCCCGTGGGTGACTCGGGCTCTGGCCCCTGGTTTTGTCAGCACTCACTGTGTTCTTCTCTTTGTTTACTTAAATTTAAACCAAATGTCCCTCCTTTAGGCCAGATCATAGCTTTGGGGATTTCCTTGGGGAATCTATACTCTCAGGTGAGCCTCTCACTGAGTCAAGATGCACGTGGAGAATGACAGGGAATTGAGTCCCTCGAGGGCTGGCCCGCGTGTGCTGAAGCGGGGAGGTCGCCTGTGCCCGTGGACATCGCACATGTGTGTGTCCTGCAGCTCTCCAGGGAGCGGGAGTGCAGCAGGGGAGGGACGAGGCTGTGTAGAAGCCACCGTGACAAGGTCAGGTGAGAGAATCAGGAAACACTCCCTAGAGAGCGCAGGTGAGAAGGTAAAATCTGGGCAGGTGAGCGGATGGACCAGGCGGGCTGGGCAGAGGGGGATGGAGGAGGGAAGGCCTGGGTCTGAGGGGAGGACCGTGTTGAGGACGATCTTAACAACCGGACATTGTTTATAACTAGTTTTAGCTGTTGGTGGTTTTAAATGTCTTTTGAGAAGGGAGATAACATAATCCCATTTGTATTTTAGGAAGATCATTCTGGCATGGATTAGAGTCGGGGGGGGGGTTAGGGAGGGGGCGTTGGGGTCCCCTCAGGCCCTCCCGTGCCCGCAGCCCTGCCACACGCACACCTCTGTACTGCGTCTCCACGAGTTGCTCACGTGTCCATCTCCTGCACCTGGTGGAGCAGGGTGACTTGGCTGGGCATGCCCACCCGGTCACAGGCAGCCCCTGTGGGAACCCCGGCCCGAGCAGGAGTGTGCACTCTGGGTAGGGGCCTCATGCTGAAAGGAACCAAGGTGACGATAGGAGCCGCTGAGTTTATGCTTCCCAGTGTGTGAACCACAGGACGGGGGAGGGGCCGGAGTGACACTTGGGGACGTGCTCTGTTGTTAGGAGTGTTGGGGTGGGTAGAGGGCAGCAGCTAGAGTGGGTCTGGGGTGCTGTGTGCCAGAGAACAGGCTGGGCCAGCACCAGCCCAGAGGGGACATCGGAGAGTGGGACGGATACACTCCCTGAGGGGAAAAGCAGGGTGAGGGAAGAAAGAGTCCCGAGGACAGAACAGGGTGCCCCCAACAGGGCAGGGACACTGAGAGCCCTGGAGGGCTGGCCGCGTAAGCGGGGGAAGGGGGCGGGGTGCTGTCCCTTCACACTCCCGCTGGGTCCTGTGCCGCCCCTCACAGTCGCTAAACGGATGTGGCTTCTTCCACAGGGGATGCGGGAGAGAAGGGAGACAAAGGCGCCCCAGGACGGCCTGGAAGAGTCGGCCCCACAGGAGAAAAAGGTACCCGCCGTCCCTGCCAGTGCTGCAGACCAGGCGCAGGTGTGCCAGCTTCTGCTCGGGCTGGGGCGGGAGGCTTGGAGATTGGCGCTGCCAGGGAGCAGGGGGTGGTGTTCTTCGAACAGTGCTCCTTGGTGCTGGCCTGCAGAGCCGCAAGACATGAGGTGCATTCTGGACACTCAGGGCTGGCTCCCGGACCTCACTGATCCTCGGCTGTAAAATGGGAGCAGTGACTTCCAGGATCTCTTGTGAGCATTAAATGAGATCAATGCAGTGATGAAGGTGGGGGGACAGAGACGGCACAGATGTGGGGAGCGTGGGGGGAGGGAGGAGGGGGTTAACAGCGGCTGTCCCGACTCATAGCCGGCAGACCCTCCTCGTTTTGAGTCTGCTTCTCCTTAGTGAAATAGTGCAGTCCTGCCTGCCTCGTGGGACTGTGCTGAGCCCTAGACGAGGGAGGCCACGTGCGAGAGGGAGCCGGGCCACGTGCGGGAGGGAGCCGGGCCACGTGCGGGAGGGAGCCGGACCACGTGCAGGAGGGAGCCGGGCGCACATGTGAAAGATCTAGATCATAAATGTAAAGTAGCTACACAGTAAATGGCAGGTGTCCAATAAGTGGTGGGTATTATCTTTAGGATATATATTTATTTTTCCTGCTTTAAAAATTTGTTGAAACATAATCGATAATACATATTTGTGGGGTACAGAGTTGACTATCAGTATTTGTGTGTGATATGTGATGATCAGATCAGGTTAGTTGGCACATGCGTCATTACCAAATTTACTCATTCTTTGTGTCCATTAACCAATTTCTCCCTAACCCCCTCCCCATCTCCTTTTTCCCTCTAATATGCTTTAAAATTTTTATCAAGGCATTAAAAACTGTCCATAGAAATGTTTCTCAATATTTACACATCATTCTATGAGAATATATGCTATGATTTATGTAGCCAACCCCCCAACCAATCTTGTAAGATTGGAGTTAAAAAAATTATTATAACAACACAAATATAGGTCATTGAATATATACTTTCAAGGCCATGCAGTTTCCTTAAACCTTTTTGAGGTGTGATTATGGACATTCCCCTTTTGAAGTGTAAAACCCGATCAGTTTCAACAGAGGCATACACCTGTCACCACCCAAAATGCCTTGTGCCCTTGCAGTCGATCCCTCCATCAGCCCCAGGCACTGGTTGTTACTTATTCTAATTAAAAAAAAATAAATGAAATATTCTCATAGTTCCAAGTTCAAAGTACATAAAATGGCATTTACAGTGAAAAGTCTTCTTCTGCCCTATCCCCCGCCCCCACAGACAGCCATTGTTAATCTTTTATTTATCTTTGCAGAGACATTTTGTGAATTGGCAAACACGTTTATAATCTATTTCTCCCTCTTTTGTACCAACAGATGACATATTGTTCTGCATTTTTCTCCTTTCACTCAATGTATTTTGGCGATTGCACTACCTGAGGACGTACAAGATTTCCCTTATTCTTTTGTATTCTGACTGGTGTCCGACTGTATGAATTTATCATGATTTCCTGGAGATTTGCCTTTTTCTAGGTGTTTGTTGCCGTGTGTATGTATGTTGTTTTTTATGTGTATGAGTATAGCTTGAAGATCAGTTTCTGGCTGTGTACTTGCTACATCAAGATGTGTGTGCATTTGAAATTTTGATAGATACCGCCAAACTGCCCTCCAGAAGGAATGACTCATTTCCTCTGTGACAGGCAGTGCACAGGAATGCATGTCCTCAGGCCTTGTCACCCGAGAAGGTTGCCAGTCTGCCAGTGAGTGCTAAATGCTATGACTGGGTGGTTTCCCTTGCTTCTCTTTTATTATGAATGACACAGGGACATCTTTTCACATGTTTTCAAGGCATTTGTGTCCTTTTCTGTCTTTCTGTTCTTTTGTGGGGTTGTCTTTTTCTGTCTTTTTAAAAACCCTTTTTGGGTTCTTTTTCTTCCTGATATGTCAGATACTTTTGCACTTGTATTTTCCGTACATATCTCTGAATGTTCCCTTAGACTAAGTTGCTGGAAGTGGAATTATGAACTTTAAAGAAGGCTCCTGATACAGTTCCCACGCCCGCCCACGCACAGCCCACCCTTCATGAGCAGCCCCTCTGCCTTTTGCACGTAACCGCTCAGTCTGTGTTTGCTGACCTGGCTCCCAGAGCCCGTGACACACCACGGGTCCTGGTGCGCCAGGACAGAGCCAGGTGCAGCTGGCCAGGTGAGCAGAGGGCTGGCGAGGGGTGAGTGGGCTCCGCGGGTCCGTGCTTTCTCATCTAGAAAGTGTGGGATGGCTCACTTGCTTCTTAAATTCTTGGGTTATAATAAAAGTATCTTAGAAATACCAAGTGCTTACTATTTTTACTTTGTTCCTATACTTCTTAGAGTTGGAAGTGCTGTACATATACTGTGTTACTTATTCAATCGTTTAACTAATTGTGAAATCACAGTGATAAAATGGTGTTCCTCTATTTCCTTTTGTAGATGAGTTTTTTTTTTTCCTTTTTGTCTTTTTTCGTGACCGGTAACAGGATCGCAACCCTCGGTGTCGTGCCCGTACCGTGACCGGCAACGGGATCGCAATCCTCGGTGTCGCGCCCGCACCGTGCTCAACCAGTGAGCGGACCGGTCTCTATATGGGATCCGAACCCTTGGCAGGAGCGCCGCCACACTCTACCGAGTGCGCCACCGGGCCGGCCCTGTAGATGAGTTCTTATTTCAGCTTTAGGAAGTAGACGTCGCCCCTGTCCTAGGTGGCCAAACATTTGCTTTCCCGATGTCATGTCACCGACTTGGTGCTGACGTGGACTCATCTGCTCGCTCTCCTGTTATCTTCACCATTTTGTGCTCTTATCTCCCTTGTGGTCTTCGTTCTCTCTTATTCTCACAAGTCAGTGCAAGGACGTGGTGACCACAGGTGCTCGTACTGTTCCTTCTAAGTCCCCGGACAGGAGTGAACGTCGCATTGTTTCCTGCGTTCGGCTGCTCTGTCGCGTGTCTGTTAGGTGCTGAGCACCTAGGGAGGGACTCAGAGCTGAGGAAGGCTCAGTCCTTGACCGGGAGCCCATCACAGCCCAGTGGAGGAGGCAAACTGTGCACCCCATGAAGGTAGAGTGAGGCAGAAAGCCACGGGGCAGTGCAGAGCCGGATCTGGGCTGGATTAAGAAACCGACTTGTTTCAGATTTTTCTAATATATATCAGTAGCATATGCTCATGATGGAAAAGTTATATATATATGAAAGTGGTGAGAAAACCATCTATAATAAAATCATCCAGGGGCTGGCAGGTTAGCTCACCTGGTTAGAGCGTGGTGCTGATAAAACCCAGGTCAAAGTCTGATCCCTTTACCAGCCAGGTGCAAAAAAGAATGAAAAAAAAAAAAAAATCCAGAGATAGCCATTTATTTTGGTATATTTCCCTTTTTTTGGTGCCTTTTTGTTGCTTTGTTATGATTATGTTGTATATGTAAATTTGCATCCTATTTATTAAAGCTAATACCGAATTTAAGTTAAGCACTTTTCATGCTATGAAGTCACTTTAATGGATGCCTACTATCCATGGGTAACTTAAAATTCCACCCCAGGAGAGTGTGTCCTATGCTAGAGTCCTCTGCAGGTTGCAGAGCAGGAGCAGGGAACCTAGACAGCGGGTTCCATAAAATCCTATTTCAGGAGCAACATATTGAACAATGATGCTTCCAGCCTGAGCCAGCCAGTGCAGTGGTTGGTAAGTAACTATCGCGTTTACTAGTGGGGTGGCATGGGCACTGGGAAAGTAAGCAGCCTTGGTTTGGGGTGTTTGCTCCTTCACAGCATATAGCTAGCACAAGTTAATGCAAGTGGGATTTATCTGGATTACTGAACAGTGGAAGATAAATTATGTCTATTTAGGAAATAGCCATTTCTAGGTGATCTTTAAGAAGAGGACTAGCCTTGGCATGATATAATGTAAGTTAATAAAACAGGATACGAGAACAGGTATATAATTGATTCACAAGTTAAAAAAAAGGTATACCAAAATGCTGGAAAAGAAGTAAACCAAAATAGTAGTAGTAGACATTTCTGGGTTATAGGATTATGGACATTTAAGTTTTCTTTTTTATTCTTGTCTGTATGTTTTATATTTTTGACATGAGCATGTACTGCATTTCTGATGTTAATATATTTTTTAAAGATAGCTGAAACTGTGGCCTGGCATGTTGACAGTGTAGGCTTACCTGGAGGCCAGGTGTTTGTTTATAACCTCCGGCTGTCTCTCTCAGACACCTGCCACTCGCTCCCCCAGCCCACGTGGTGACTGTTAAACTCATGGTCAGTGTGGCTGTGCTTTAGTTCGTCTATGCTCAGAGCAAATGAGATTTGTGGTCAACCTCAGAACTTCCAGACATGGCTTCAAACCAAGCCCCAAAGCTTGAGGTCAGCTGTGATCAGGGAAAGTACAGTCACCATTTATCTGGTAGTTTTCCACCTGTGTAGACAGAACATGACTAAACCTTCCAGGATTCCGGGAGGAACCATCCAATCCAACCCTCTGTTGATTATATAAGGACTGATTCAGGTGAGGAAATGAGCCTGGACGAGGAGACAGTGGCTGGCTCACGTGGAAAGTGTGGCTGAGTTGGGCTAGTTCAGGAGCCCCAGGTCCCAGGGAGGAACCATCCAATCCAACCCTCTGTTGATTATATAAGGACTGATTCAGGTGAGGAAATGAGCCTGGACGAGGAGGCAGTGGCTGGCTCACGTGGAAAGTGTGGCTGAGTTGGGCTAGTTCAGGAGCCCCAGGTCCCAGCTCATGGCCCCACACCCATTCTTAACTTTGCCCTCAACAGTCTTCAGCCTCACCCCTGCAGACAGTTGGTCCACACCCAGCCTCACCCCTGCAGACAGCAGACCAGAGCTCGGCCTCAGCCCTGCATAGCTGACCAGAGCTTGGCCTCGCCCCTGCATACAGCTGAACAGAGCTTGGCCTCACCCCTGCAGACAGCTGA